AACATTTATCGTTTTTCTTTTCACAATTCACATACAAATGAACAATAGAGGGGGGTACGAGGAATATAAATTCTAAAAATATATAATTTGTTGACCGATCCTCATATTTGCAGTATGGAAGTTGAAGAACTTTCCGTGAAATATCTTAAATTGTTATATTTAAGTTGTCTTCTATTCTAGTCTTCTTACATCTGATAAAGAAAAATTATTTTTTAAATCCATTATTTTCAGTCTAAACTTCCATTGGCAACCTTCATTTGTCCTATTTATAAATGGATACTTTAACATTTAAACTGAAATCATTATTCAAAATATACTGCCTACATAAATTTTCGACCCACCCTATTATTACGATATTGTGTAATTTTTCCCCCTCACTTCGTTGGTCAGTAGCTACAATTGCATTCCACAAATTTAATAACCGATAATTCAATCGGTTATCTTAGCATAACAAATATTACGTAGGACAAATTGGAAATCAGAATTCACGCACTTTGCAGCATTTCGTAAGATACCAGCAGAAATAAAGAGATAAAGCGTTCATTAGTACCCAGTAATATTCATAGGTTTCGGTGTTGATAGTCCGAAAAAGAACTCACTTTTTAAGATTTTGGAAGGAAGAAACAGAATTCTCTTTATGTTTTCTGCTACATGTGGAAGTACGAGTCTCTCCTTCTAAGCCGTGAAACGGATATTTGAATCCTACTATGATTTCTTCTCCTACTACACCATAAACTGCTTACAAAAACAGAATAGATCAATAAAGACACACATACTATTAACTAAGAAATGTTGTTGTCATGCTGCTTTGGATCCATCAGAGACATTTGTTTCATATGCCTATCAGTGTGGAAAACGGATAATGAGGGTGATAATCGTTGAAGCATATTAAACACTTACGCATGGATGAATATACCAATACTTAAATCATCATATTCGCACACGACAAAACAATGAAAGTCCATAAACAATTCCTTATTAAAATAATTGTGGCTTTGGTGGCAGGGAAAAAGGTTCACTTTAGTAAGACTTGTGTTTGCTTAAAGAAAATATAAAAAATATAAGATTAGAAAAAATATAAAATTAGAAAAAATATAAAATTAGAAAAAGATGGTAAATTTAACATACGTCAGTTTTCTCAGAATTCTGAGGTAAATTAAAAACAAGTAAGCAAAGGCTACAGTCGAGCGGGGCCGACCGTTGAATACCCTACAACACTATAATAAATTATACAGTTTATGTAGGCGAGATACTCGAAAGAATTCCACAAGATATTGTGACAAATAATAAAAGAAAACCATCAGGTTTCGTTCTCTAATTTTCGAATAATAGCAACTTAAACTTATCTGCTCATTTCCAATTTATTGGTAAATGGTTTTCCTAGATCTGGAACCAATATTTCCCAAAGACCTATAATATCTTAGAAGTGGCAAAAGATTAACATTTATTATTAGTTTTTGATTGAAACGCATCTATATGAGATAAAGACTTTTGACTATATTCTTCAATGAAATCAGCGTTAACGAAATAGTCAGAAGTGCGTCTTTCCTGTATTTGTGAATTCTCCAAAAAGTCACTGGAATGGACATTTTCGTATTTAGTCTACAAAAGTTGGCAAACTATTTCACACATTGAATATTTTTGGATGGCCATCCGAAACTGCTTGGCTTTTGCAATTTCCGGTAACCCCCATTCAAATGTGCGTGAGGATCGGACGATAATTACGACCTGCTAACAATTTTGCAGTTTTTTGGTCAATTTCAACCCCTAAATATATGGCGACCATTTCCAAAAAGAGTAGGCTTCTATTCTGACCCTCATCTTATCCCCATGCAAAATTTCGTAAGGATCGGGCCATAAATGCGATCTGTATATGATATCCTGATATCCTAACTACTTAGTTTTGTTAGCTGTAGAAATATTACCAAATGTTTAATTCAAAATTAAAATATGCCAAAAATATGACAAAATGGAAAAAATATGAGAAAATTTTACAAAATCAATATTTTCATCTTTAGAGAGATATTTTTGAGCGATTTTTTAGAAGATTTTTCTTTCCTGCCGAGAGGCCATTATGAATTAATGAGAACTGCCGAAATCAGTTCAGCCGTTCTCGACATATATGAGATCTTTCAAGCATATCTCCTTTGATAGACATATATATCGCACATATTTTGCTATATATCCGATTTGTTGTGTGTTAACATCAATGTAAAGATCAGAAGTAACCTTATCATGGCTTTGTGATTTTGCCGAGATTTAAAATATTCGCGGTTTAATGAAAAATTTTGAATTTTTCAACACAAAAAAAAATGGTCTATTTTACCCTGTAAATATTATCAGATGACCACCCAAATTGGTAGGCTTGTTCCCCGCCCTAAACTCTAGCTACATGCGAAGTTCCGCGTCGATTGGTCTATAATTGCGACCTGTATAGCTACTGCAAAATCCGACATTTTTTCAGTTTTTGGTCCATTTCGACCCCTAAATATTATGCGATCATCTCCAAAAGAAATAGGGTTCTATTCTGACCCTAGCCCCACCTCCATTCTAAATTTCGTGAAGATCGGGTCATAATTGCGACCTGTAGAGTGATTACAAATTAACATGGACAAACGGACAGACGGACAGACGGACGGACGGACATACATAGCTAGATCGACTCAGCTTGGCGAGATAGGAAGATCCATATATACTTTCCTATGTGGGAAATCAATATTTCGAGGTGTTACATAATTTTTGGCCCAATCAAACTTATAATACCCCCAACACATAGTGTTGTAGGGTATAAACAGTAAGTTCGGCCAGGCCGAATTTTCCATAACCCCCTTATCACAGAGTAAAGAAAACATAAAAGTATCTGTATTTAACATTCGAACGTGTTCTACTTTAAACTGAAAATACCAATTAGATCGGTTAAAGAATGCAGTCACATTTTCTTTTTTGACCTTTCTCCACTAATAAACAAACGTTATTTTTATAGAGACAACAATCATGGGATTAAGCCTGACTATTTCGCAACAACAATATACTACCATATCCCGAACAAACACACCAACACTATTCTTTTAAAAATTCCATAAAGTGGATGGAACCATAATATGGCCGTAATACCGAAACGGGAACATACAACTTCAAGTTATATTAAATACCAAATTTGAAACAATTCCGTGGAAAATGTGGCTAAAATCATCAAAACAAACATACTGACCTATATTTAGTCAGTAGCATTATATAGAAATCGTGGACTAATAAGGCCAATGTTCTGACACCGGTAAAAGAACCTTTTCGATAGAAAATGTATATTAAATCGTCAAAATATCAGATATCTGGAAGTACCATTATATTGGGGGCTATAGAAAAATGTGGACCTATAAAGACAATGTTGTCAATAGGAGGTAAACCAACAATAACAAACTCTAAATCCCAAATTTGGAACAATTTCATAAAAAAATTGTGGTTAAAGAGATCGAAACACTGAATATCCGAGTGTACCATAATATGGGGGCTATAGTAAAACGTGGACCTATGTAGACAATCCTTTACCACCGGTGGTACATATCATTTAGAAACTCGTTGTACCAAATTTAGAAAGATTCCGGAAAATAAAGCTTACATCATAAAAATACAGAATATCGGGAGATACCATTATATGGGGGCTAAAGGAAAGCGTGGACGGATATACCTTATTTTCAATATCAATCATATCAATCCTAGAAATGATACAAACGATCGAGCCAAATTTCAAAGCTCTTCGTCAAATAATACGTCGTTAAATCATCTTAGATTTTTCTGCTGATCATGCTGATACTTCATGAGGTCTACGATCAATAGTAAGAAGTGTTGGGTATATTCAATTTGTGGGTATATCCTTTCCGTTGTTGAGGGTAAGGTATATTAAAGGCTCCTTTCTGGATGATAGCCGATCATCGTGTGTATTTTTTTTTTTTTTTTTTTTTTTTTTGTGGTGCAATCGCTTCACATTGTCAGTGTTGATCTTGCAATCAGATCCATAATCATCCAATACCTACTTAAAAAAGGATTAGTTATATAATTAACTTACGATTATCAAATGTTATAATGATACCAATAGTACTTACACGACCCTTATACCTTTCGATTACATCTTTGATACTTGGAAACCTGTGACGATGTTATACATTTATCATTTAGTAATCTGACATTTTGTTTTCTCAATGGTAAGTTAAACTTTTCGAAAAAAATGCAATATAGAAATGGTTCCCATATTACGGAATCTTAAGGACAGTTTCAACATGGTAAAGGGTATAAAAAGTTCCTCCCAAATGATCTTAACGTCGTTTTTAATTGTTTATGGTGAAATCGCTTCATGCTGTCAGGTTTTGTCTTCCGGTCAGATCCACAACCATCCATTTCCAACATAACATAAGTAGGATTACCAAATGTTATAATGCCAATAGTACGTACGCGACCCTTTCGTTTACATCTTTGATCCCTGGCAACCTGTGACGAAGTTATACAAATTGTATTTGGTGAGAAGTATAATCAAATTTACTGCGAAAAAAATGAAATTTTAACTTATAAATAATAATTAATTAACAATAATTTAACCAGAAAATTTAAAATAAATAATCCGTTTCTAATCTCACAATGGGAAATTCGTGAGAAATGACGACACGCATGCTATTGTGAATGATTATTTGGCGCGCAACGTAGCCAGCTGTTGTGTGAATTGCCAATGCCAAACGTCATGCCATTTACCGGCGTTAGTAAAAACGCAATGGCGTGGTTGTTTTTTTATGCCCCTAACAGCATGATGTAAAAGTTTTTACCACTATAACTGATTTCCCTTTAAAACATGCAAAAATGGTATATTCTTGCAGGTTCTGAAACAGAGCACATATTTTAATTTAAGAGAAATCGCGGCTGACTCCTGCTGTTTCGTCCGATAACATCGATAGAAAAATCTATCAATCGATAGATCTTTTTATAATAAAATATCGATATTGACATCAACATATTTGCCACCTCTATCTGTCAATTGCCGGATTCAATTTATTTGCAAATCTAGGCATTTGCGATTTCTCGCCAATAATTTATTATGAATTCTTTCTAAATTTCATTTCAAAACGAAGCCAAGGAAGTAAAACAACAAACACAACATGGGTATTTTGGATAAAATCGCTGAAATCGAGAGAGAAATCGCTCGCACACAAAAGAACAAAGGTAGGCGAGGAATACAAGATCCAATGAGGTGGCTGAAGAAGAAGACGTCGACGTCTTTTGAGAAAAACAAGGTTATAAGTTTTAAACAAAACATTTTTAATAAAATATGTTCTTTCCTTTTTAGCTACTGAATACCATTTGGGGTTACTAAAGGCCAAATTAGCCAAATATCGTTCGCAATTGTTGGAACCAGCCAAGAAGGGTGAAAAAGGTGAAGGTTTCGATGTCTTGAAGAGTGGCGATGCAAGAGTCGCATTGATTGGTTTCCCATCCGTGGGTAAATCTACTCTGCTATCGACGCTGACCAAAACTGAGTCCGAAGCTGCCAATTATGAGTTCACAACGCTGACATGTATTCCCGGTGTCATTGAATATAAGGGAGCTAATATTCAATTGTTGGATTTGCCTGGTATCATTGAAGGTGCCGCTCAGGTGGGTGAAAAGTAGGCGACTTGCAATGTGTAAATGTATACTTTATTTTAGTATAGAAGTATTAATGAGTGGTAGAGTACAAATTCAGGGAAGTGTCGAAAATCTAATTAGAATTTGAAACAATAGATCAGTAAAGGCTACTAAATTCTAAGATATCGGCTTCATGCGGTAAAGATTTATTGCGAACTAACCCATTTAGCTATGCGTGCAAAATATTCAATCACAAACACATACATCTTAGTTGGTCAGGTGCTTATCGTATAGGGTAGTTAGCTTGGAGTTGCTCTAATTCTTACAGTTTTTATGCATTTTGTATTTCAAGAAAAATGCATATACCCTTTTCAGCTGGAGGAGTTCTTAAATGTTAATTTAATATTCTAAATACATTCAGATCACATCTCAATGGCATGTTACTTTTGACTTCCATCTTGTACATCATATTCGTATAATGTTTAGCTTATGCAAATAGATACATCACTTTTTACTCCTTGAATCCAACGTTTATACATAATTTATTTTCTCTCTTTTAGGGTAAAGGTAGAGGTCGTCAAGTTATTGCTGTTGCCCGTACAGCTGATTTGGTTGTTATGATGTTGGATGCCACCAAACCGAATGTACATCGCGACTTGCTGGAACGTGAATTGGAATCTGTGGGAATACGTCTGAATAAACGAAAACCCAACATTTACTTTAAACAAAAGAAAGGTGGCGGCCTGAGTTTCAATTCGACATGCACCCTTACCAAATGTAACGAGAAAATGGTCCAAATGATATTACACTCATTTAAGATATTCAATGCTGAGGTTTTGTTCCGTGAAGACTGTACCACAGATGAATTTATTGATGTTGTGACAGCGAATCGTGTCTATTTACCATGTCTATATGTCTACAATAAAATCGATCAAATCTCTATCGAAGAAGTGGATCGTTTGGCGCGGCAACCCCATTCCATTGTGGTTAGTTGTAATATGAAATTGAATTTAGACTATCTGTTGGAGGCATTGTGGGATGCGTTGCAGCTAATTCGAGTATATACCAAGAAACCAGGTGCACCACCAGATTTCGATGATGGTTTGATTTTGAGAAAGGTAAGCGGCCATAATACAATTCAGGGGTAATTTAAAATAAAAATTGTTCTTCTTTCAGGGTGTCAGTGTCGAGTATGTCTGTCATGCCATTCATCGTACTTTGGCTGCCCAATTCAAATATGCCTTAGTCTGGGGTACTTCCACAAAGTATTCACCACAACGTGTTGGCATTGGTCACATTATGGCCGATGAAGATGTTATACAAATTGTTAAGAAATGATAAATACGTTTAACGTCTATTTACTCATTTATTGGCGCTTCTTTCTTAAACAACAAATCAACACAAAACGAAACATGGTCATTGATTTATTTTATACGTTTGAAACTTTTTATTTTTTACAATTGCCTTTTGTTGGTTGGGTCCATTATAATCGAGCCACATTTAGTTTAAATGTCAAACGTTTTCCATAATGTCCATAACGCTTTCGAAAAAAAACTTGATTTTTATATAATGAAAAAAGATATTGAAAGTTAAATTATCGACATTATAAGATGCTGGGCTGACATAATAAGCGAACTTATAAACAATTTAGTACTCAAGGAACTGCTAAAATAAAGAGAATGAAAAAAATGTTACAATAAAATTTAAAGTTGGCTTATATTTACGGGGGAATAATACAATTTAAAGACCTTCGCAGGACTTTCAAAAAAAATACACCTTTTGAAAGTCTAAAGGTAAAAGAACCCGGGAGAGAGAAGCTCTATAGAATACCAGTTTCATCATTTCTATAGGTAGAAAATATTTGGGGGCCTTCTATAGATCGAGGAGTTGTTAAATCTTGGACTTCTTCTGTAGATGTTTTGGAACTTCTTTATACCGAGTCTTCTGCTAATCTTCCATTGACTATAAACATACTGTGTTTCTTGCTTATCATATGAGGTGACGATTTACAAGATTTCTTCTTTCTATTCATATATCAATTATTCTTTATTTAATTTATATTACAAAATACAAAAAGCAATTTCAACATTTTTCATAAACAAAAATTCCACAATATCCAATATGGTCACAAACCATATATATCGGAAATTGTCATGCTGATCCACCCTGATGTCGCTCCTTTTACTATCTTTCCATGCACTTATCTCACTTCCCTGGTTGCGTGGCAGAACCCTGAGCAGCAGAATGTAATGTTGAATTTCCAAATGATTTACCAAAATTACTTATCGCTGTAATATTGGAGAATGGTGTGGGACCCGCTGTAATTCGTGAGGTATCCGCTTTTGTTTCTGGCTTTTCCAATTTGGCAAAGACATCTGTATTATCACGTAAACGATATTTGCGTAAATTCAAATATTGTTCCTTTTGAGCCTCGACCTTTTGATGGAGTTCATGCAGTCGACCCGCCAGGGAAATAAAACTTTCATTGATTTGTTGAAAGCCACGCTTCAGATCTTCAGGTGCAACATTTTGGGGATTTGTCAGCGAGTGCATATGTCGTTCGGTGAGGGCGATTTGTTCACGGAAATTTATCAAATCATGTTCATATTTGGCAACAAGATTTTGAAAGAATTGAAATGGTGCATCGTTTTCAAACTGTAAGCCTACGGGAGTATCTTGTGTTCGTTGGGCCATTTCCACAGATTGTATTGTTTTGGAGGTTTCTTTGCGCAACAATTTAATTTGATTATAATTGGCTTCTACGGAATTGGCAATCTCTTGCAGCGCCCATTGCAGATTCATAATTTCACTAGAGACATTTGTCAATTTCGAGGTGGAAGTCCTGCCGATATCGGACGATAGGGTTTTTTGTGTTTTTATGTATGTCTTGAGAGAATCAACGGTGCGGGCAATTTCATCCGGCACTTGGGTCTCCTTAACTTTGATATCTTGTTTCGATTCTCCAGGTTTGGGTTTATTGGAACTAACATCTATGCCTCCCAAACCTACAAATGGTGTTGGTGCGGTGGCAGTAGCTGCAGTTGTGGCCGGCTTACCAAAGAGACCCCCACCACCCAAAGTAGTTGTGGTGTTGGTACCAAAATTTAAGCTAGCCGATGTGGTTGTAGCTGGTTTGCCAAATGAAAAGTTGGTGCCTGTTGCCGCAGCACCGCCCAGACCACCCAAAGTTGGTAAAGTGTTGGCAGCAGATGTTGCAGCTCCGGCCCCAAAGGACAATGTGGGTGCTGTACTCGCCGCGGGAGCACTTGATGCGGCTCCAAAACCGAATGTCGATCCTGCGGTTGGTGCGCTTGATGTTGCCGCAGTGCTGGTTGGTGCTCCAAAACTGAATGAAGTACTGCCAAACGCTGGTGCAGATGTTGCCGGAGTTGCTGCTCCGAAGGCCGGCGCTGCTGCTGTGCCCAAAGTTGGCGCCGCAGATTGTGCCCCAAAAGCCGGAGTAGCAGCTGCACCAAAGGCCGGAGCTGCCGCTGTTGCACCAAAACCGCCCAATGTTGGTGCGGCTGTCGTCTTTGGTGCTCCAAATGAAAAGCCTGTGGTTTGCGTTGCTGGGGCTGTTGCCGGTGCTCCAAACGAAAAACTAGACGTTGGCTGAGCTACCGGCGTACTACCGGCTGCTGGCGCTCCAAATGAAAAACCAGACATTACAGCGTAAAAGACCGCGCGAATTTACTCGAATAACTAGATGATTTAGTAATTTTATTCGCCAAAAAAAACAAAAGGACAAATGAAACAAACGTACGTTAAACACGAGAATCTTGTTGACTACAACGAAGTTACCACGCCGTTACATTTTTACCAACGGCGGCAAATGGTATAACCTTCGGCGTTAACTTCTCATACACAGCTGTCTAAGGTGCGCGCCAACCAATCATTCACAATAGGTAGTGTGTCGTCATTTCAGATGAATTTCCCTCACTTTCAGTTTGGGTATAAACTTTTACATTCTTGCAGTTCTGAAACAGACCGATAATTGGTTACGTTCATAGTATTTAATGTGACATTTCCTCTTACTAAACCCAAAATGTGTAACTTTTCCTTCGTCATAGACTTCAATTTGTACTAGGGATATGTAGTTCGGCTTTACCTTCGCTTTTTCCGATGAAGGCTCTATCAGACGAAATGTTTTTACATATATAATGCCATATTTACCACATCTAGATATTGCACATATCATGTTATGAAATACATGAGTAAAGTATATGCTTACGCTTTCGATAAACAGCGAACCGTATTTTCATTGGAAAAGTATAATTTAGAGTCTTTTAACATAAAAATTAATAGAAAAAAGCGAAAAATGATACATACAAAATATGGATGCTCAAGGTGTATATACCACATTACCTATTTTCAAAAAATAAACAGTTCCCCACAACTCCCTCCAAATACCGATTAAAACGCAACACTACACTACAAATAGTTTTAATAAAATGTTTGAATTAATATTTTGTATTTGGGTATGTTCTAAATAAATTCTTTGCTTTAAATTTTACAGTGTTTACACAGGGTTCGATTGATAAAACTATATATCTCACAAAAAGTCATGAATATATTCTATACATAAATACGTACATATTTTAATATTTCGTAAAACAAAATTGTAAAAGACTTATAAATATTAAGTTCGAAAAAAGTTAAGAGTCTGTCGAGAAAAAATGTGTGCATACTTCTTTTATTTTGTAAAGTTTAGAAAACAAAACCAGTAAATAAAACAAACAAAAATCAAAACTTTTGTGCACTTGTATGTCTGGATGAAGTCCTCCTTTCTAATAGAAAAAAATCTTGAGGCATAGATGATGCATAGACATTCAATATGATCTTTGTATTACAAAGCTTTGCCACATTTTCCATATTTCTTGTAGCAAATAATTAACATTTCGCAACCTTTCGTTTGGAAAAAAGCTAACCAACCATCTTGACACTAAATACTTCTTCTTTTTCTCTTTTCCGTTTTTTTCAATTGCTGTAAAATCCATTGCCATCATTACCCATAAATTCTGTCCACCTTTGAGTTTCAATGTCATCTAATTCGGAACATACTTCACCGGGCTGCAAAGAACGGCATGTACATGTTATACTCAGACGAGTGATTACCAATTGTGACTCATATTTGGGCATTTCGGGATTGATGTTTATCATGCGTTCATTGAGACATTGCTTTAGGAATTGCCGTCGCAAAGCCCGTTGATTATCCATGGTGTAGCCTGAAAAATTGAATAACAATTAAATAAATAAATTAAATAATAAAAATTAAATAATGACAAACAAGTTAAATTATGTGTATCATGATACCATGGTGTATACCCCACTAGAATTATATGGACACTGCATTTACAAAGGTCAATATAATAATAACAGGTTTACATGTAATAAATCTTCTTTGTCACAATCTTGTTCTGCACTAATTAATGCTCTTTTCAGAACTGCAAGAATGTATTTTTAATAGGTATTTCTTTTATGAGATCGAGAAAAATTGCAAAACTAGTTGATTCTTGCAGATTGTGGAACTGAACAATTAATTGTTTTTATTTATAAGTTCTTAAGGTGTGGGTATGTACAAAAGCAGCTTGAAATCTATATTATGGCATATTATAAAGGGATGTCAGAGCCGCAGCCGAATCCTGATGTCTTTTCTCCTAATAATTTGACAATAATATGCCTAGCCATGATGCCATGCTGCTTATTTATTCGATACCCAGAAAGTGGGTTTCAAACGGAATTACTTACTTTTGTAGGCGCTTATTTTCTCCTCAATACAATTTAAGTCCTGTGGCAAGAATAACGGTGGAAAAGCTTCGGATTCTCGGATATTCAGGACAAATGCAAAATCTATCGCTGATCTAGTATTGTTCAACGACTTCATGAGGACTCCGGTTGAAGATATGGAAGCCAAAAACCATTCATCATTATCTGTCTTTTCAGCACCACCACCAACTGATTCTGTACTAGATTCTTCACTTTGACGTCTACGCCGGCGACGTCGTCGTTTCTTCTCAATATTAACGTCATCAAATTGTGGCTGCACATCAGCTCTCTGTTCCTCCTCGATTTCATTAGTTCGCATTTCATAGTTTTGTTCTTTTTTCATGGCATCCCTCTCTTCTTTTTCCCTTTCCAAATCCCATAAACTTAACGGCTCCTCCTTATCGAGTTTATTTGAGGGGACACCTCCTTTGGGAAGACTTGATGTTGCATTGGCATCCGCATCATCTTCGAATGTAGGAACATCACTGCGTATATCACGATTTCCGGGATATTTAGTTCGTAGACGAATGGGATGATCGTTCGGTGGTACAATTTCGGGTATTTCTGAATCGGGATAGACGTTTTCATAGTCGACTGCTGTGCGTTGTGGTTGTTCAAGTTCGTAGTCTTTTTGCTGGAAAGGAAGGAATTGAAGTGAATCTAATTTCGACAAAGAACAGCAAAACAGAATGAAAGCTTCTAAAAAATCGAATAAAAAATAAACATTGTTTTTCGAAAAAAAAAAAAAAATAGTGGCAGGTGTGAATTGAGATTTCGAAATCGATACGAACACGGGTATTTTGCAGAGCTAGCCAAAAAATATAACCCAAAACAGAATCAAAGTTTAGTCTCTACGCGTTGGCATTAATAAAGAATAGAACACAAAATACAATAAGACTGGGTGCTGTTGCGCGTGTTATAGCTTGAACATTTGATATATTTTGGATTTTCTGTGCCACTGCACTGCCAAGCATTGATTCTGTCTTTGGGCTCGATTCTACATAGACTTTCTTTATTATACCAACGCGTAAAGATCAAACATTGATTCTGTTTTGGGTTTTATTGTTTGGCCAGATCAGCAATATACCTGTGTTTTTACGTATAATTCATAGACGCAACTTACAAATTCCCTAATGGGCGCGTTTCCGGCAAATGCTCCGCCATAATACGGAACATTCAATTGTTGTTTCAAAGCATCGTAGGCATCTACCACGGGCATCTCATTTTTCTCTAATGCTTCTTGTATCAACTCTGGTGTTACGAAACGATCTCTGGCGGTTTCCTGTCGAAATTGATTTTTTGACTTTTCCAAATGTTCCAGATTTTCAGCGGCAACAACACGTTCCAAGAGCTCTTTATTGGCCAAAAGCTTTTTCAATAGCTTTGGATGTTTGAGAGGAGATTTTGGTGTCTTTTGTGGGGGATTTGACAAAGTGCTGGGTTGTGTTCGATTCAGATGGACTTCAAGATCATCTAAGGGAAAATAGAAAAATCAAATCATGGGGTGTCCTAAAATGTTCAATTCTACCGCCGTTGAAATTTTATGTGACTCTGATATTCCTTTATAATTTGACATTTCATAAAAGCCCACACTCGTGACCAAATGTAATGTCAAAATGCACTATTGTGATTGAAAGCACAGAACAGAAGATAAACAATAGTCAAAAAGGTGTAAACAAATTTTGATTTCTCATCTGTTTTTTTTTTTTTTTAATTTTGCAGGAACACCTTGTTATTACGTCATGCTCATAACAAATCCAGTGGATTTTAACTGTCAATTCCATTGCATATACGTCAAATGAAATCTACTCGACTTCATTTGACGTTTATGCAATGGAATCGAAGATAGACGATTTCATTTGACTTATTTATACATATGTGATGGAATTGAGGAAACCGCGGACCTTTCCTTTTGAGTTGTCAAAAAAACAAACATGTGACTTTGCTTTAGGTGTACGGTATAGCTTTCACTGATATCATATTATTCATATGATCATTCATTTTGCCCTATGTAAACATACCTGTACTAAAAAGCACCGCTCCCGGTGGCTCAATATGTCGAGCGATGGCATACAATTTTACAACACTCGATGTGTTGTATCTCAAACGACAAGTATCCGCTCTGGCCTGGAGAATTATATCGCTATCTGCAAAAAAATATATATCAACAAAAATTATCTCCTTTCCCCGCTATCCCCCTTACCTGGTACAAATTCATACGCATCCTTGACATCCATTTTATCGCGACACTGCATTTGCCAATGCAAAAAGAAATCACCACCAAATGTTTGCGAAATAGAAACACCGCCCAGCAAACTATTCGAACCACCCGAATCGGTCATCATGGCATCAAGTAATGGTTTACCCGTTCTACCATCCAATATTGTGGTCTGAGAATAATAGTATACCGGAAATCCAGGGCCCGTATTATATTTCACCATAAAGTCGGGTATATCATCATGATTGAAGTGACCCGGTACTATGGCACTCACACTTTCACTCGAATGGAAAGTGAAATTCCATAACATGGAAAAGTTGCGACCATCAAATGCCATTACGGTAGAGTTAAATGATGACACAACAATATCGGCAATTTTATCACCCGTTATATCAGCCAATACTGAAGGAACCATTAAACCAGAATGTTTATGCCTGTATATGGCATTGAAATCTTTTTCACTGGTATATTTCATTAATGACATCAAACGTATGGTGTAAACGCCGCCAGGGGTCGATTGACCTCCCGTTATAATTAGTAGTAACTCAGTGCCATCTTCTTGGGTAATAACTTGTATTGGTACAAATACCTCCTCTTTATACGGTGTCGGTATGGTTCGTATAACTTTACCGGTTTTACCAGAAATCACCTTAATATGTCCGGCCTTAGATTCTTCTCTTTCTTCCAAATGTACAGCTATTATTTCTGGTACTTCATCGCCATCAAGATCTCGTACAATATTTATGGTGTATAAATCCATAACAATTGGAGAATTGGTTTCAACTTCAATTTCACGAAATTCCCAAATATTGTTGCCATTGCGTCCATTAATGGCGAATATCATCTGAAACACCACGTGAGAATGTGTTAATAAAAGCAGTGGCGAGTTTTCACAATTTGTATAAAAAATATTAAATAGGTATGGTCTGTTCCAGAACTGCAAGAAGTACGTTAACATAAAATTTATCTACGCGGATTAACCCGATTTAGTCGATCACAATACATTTGGCTAGAAAATATACATTAAATTTTCGTCATTCATCAATTATTAGGGTAAACCAAGGAAGATATTTTGTATGATAATGCGCTATTGAATGGAAACACGTCATAACAGTTATTGATTCTATGACATTTGCTTCTGCTAAATAATCAACTGAAATATTAAAGACATTGGTAATGTGTACTCTACCTAAGAAAATTAAATTTAAAGCTGTCTGGCAACACATTGTATTCACATATTGCTAGAAATTGCTAGTTGCCAATTTGTGGAGGAAAAAAAAATATCTCTGATTAGATGTCGCGAATGATGTATTATATCCAAATTTGCAGATAATTTATGAATTTTATCCGAAAGACGAGGATAATGTATAAACTTCATATAGAAGACATACAAAAGGCATCATGTGCATCTACGCATATATTGTACTTAAGGTAAGGTTACATTGGGCAAATATTTGACGACAAATGTGAAATATTTATTTGTCACAATCTGACCATCAAATATTATTTGACGGTAAATACAAAAACAGCTGATTTTGGGAAAACAAAATTACAGGATATAGGTAGATGCATCAACGCTTGAAACAATGATATGTCAAAAATTTTGAAATGTTTTGATAAAAATAAGTCGATTTTTCTACGTTTTCTTATACGGCGAAAAATCGGAGGTTGCAATGATATATATTTTTCAACATTTTTTACAAATTTCAATAATATTTCATTCATTATTTTAAATTCCAAAATTGTTTTGACAGTTCATTGTCTCAGCAGCTATGTCGATGTAACTACCTGTATTCTTCTACCATGATACAAACAAAAATGCCAAATAAAATTGTTCTAACAAGGAATTTATTCCACAACAGCTGGTCTTTTGCTTCCCTTCTCCAAATAAATTATACCCGAAACTACATTTTCTTTATGTCTCTCTTTCACTCTCTCTCTGTCTATTTCTCTCGGCCAAATAAACTTATGTTTCCTCACAGTTTGATCAAACAATTTAATGTGAAAATATATTTTACGAATGTGAACATGTGTCAAACATGTTTTCCCATAGCACTCTTTGACGCTGTTCGGTGACTGCTTGAACAAACAAAATCTGTCAAATATTTGACTGTAATGTGAACATCGAATCAACTCTGTATGAATTTCACATTTGTTCAGTCAAAAATGGGAAAAAAAATTTCGATCAAATATTTGCCCAGTGTGACCGTACCTTTAGATTATCCAAAAGCCGTTGATATTTTATTCAAACGACGTGGGTAACTGATAGTGCATTTAGACACAAAATTCATCCGGGTTAACCCTGATTATCAATCCAGATTTGTTCAACTAGATTACAAAGATAGGTCTTCATACAACCGGATTTATTTTAAATCTGATGCGGAGGCTACATATTAACGAAAAGCATCACTGGGTACAGCATTAGTTTTGCAGTACACTCCAAAGTCGCAAATGTTTCCGCAACGGCGTTTTTTTCATTTTGCGTTGCAACAATAACAACAAATCTTAAAATGTTATTTGCTTATGATAATACATGGCAAGATGCATTATTTTCCTTGCAGAAAGTCACCACATATTTTCAAACATCAATTGCCTCTAAGGGCGGAAATAGCGCATATTTGGCTGGCTTCATCGTAGATGAACAAAGGAGTTTCAGGTTGACTTAGTTCGACTTTTTGGCCCTAGGCTCCTTTGTTAATTTCCGAAAGAGAGCGAAAAAATAAAGGTGAGAATATGTGCTAATTGTATTCCCACCTTAAGTCGGAAAGAAGAAGCACAGATAACAAAGAAAACGAAGAAACCAGAAAAATACGAAATCTGACGACTAAATATAAATAAACTGCACACAAAAAAGTCGTAGAGACAAAGAAGTTAACGTTCCGTGCCGAACTTTAATGAGCACATGTGTGCAAAATTTTACGCTGTAGGGTCTATTATGAATATTTTGAAGAGTTACAAAACGGGAAAAGATTCAGCGAAATTTGACAAGTTAAGCCGAAATGGAATGTCCCAGTATTCATGCTTCAAAATATAAGATATCATAGTAGATATTTTTTCTCCGAGGAAAGCTGAGAGTAGACGACTGAGTTGTCTAGAAAACACGTTTATTAAAAATGTGGCAACAATGGATGAAATGATAACGCGAGAATAGTTCTTTTGCAGAAAAGATATAAAAGATTGTAATATCAAATGTGGTAGCTGATTAATATTGTCAACGAAATGGAATAAGAATGAATAATAAAGAAGCATAAAGGTGCAAGCAAGCTTGAAGTCATGGCTAGGCATATTAATGTCAAATAATAATGGAAAACGACGGCAGGATTTTAGTGCGGCTCTGTAATCCCTTTATGAAATGTCACAAAATATGCCTAGCCATGACTTCAAGCTTCTTATGTATTTAGACCCTAAGAATGAATAATGAAGAAGAATAAAGGTGCAAGTACATAACAAGCTTGAAGTAATGGCTAGACATATTAATGTCAAATTATAATGAAAAACGACGGCAGGATTTTAGTGCGGCTCTGTAATCTCTTTATGAATTGTCACAAAATATTATTTTCCATGTGTATTTCCGTGTGTACGTCAAAATTGCCACTTTACATATGACTCATAATTTTTGCAATCACACACTTGCATATGCTTTTTTAGTTTTCTTTGGATTAGTCTGTTATTATATGGTATTATATGAAAAATTATAAAACTTTTAATTGTTTTTTTTTTACCAGAACAGTGTTGGCTTGTTTGTTCGAGATACCATTGTATTTTGTTGTTGCAAAATGGTCAGGCTTAATCCCTTTATTGTTGTTTTTTATAAAAACAAAGTTTGTTTATTAGTGGAGAGCGACGATATAATTTACCAGGGGGTAAGGCAGGGAATACCTAGGTTTCAGAAAGAGCCACCAATCCTCATCAGTTCCCTTGTTTTTTTGTCTGGGATGTTCTCCCCAGAAGTTATTTTAAAAATAACTCCTATGACAAAAAAAAAACTTTTTTTTACCCAAGTGACGAGATCGTAACCACAAATTTAATTTTATTTTTTTTCACCCAAAAAAAAAAAAACAAATAAAAATTTTGATGAAATTATATTTATCGATAGAAATAGGGCTCGCTGTGATTGAAAAGTACGTGTGTACTAACTTCTGTATTTTTCATCTGAAATTTCGTCCATGTATCATACGATATGTGCAACTTCTACATATGGAAAATTTGTCTTAAACATATTGAAAAAACATTTCGTCTGATTGCGGCTTTATTCACAAATGTTCGATGATACATATTCATTTTTCAAGAGTCTCTGGATATAAATTATGTACAAGTCATGGGATAATACGAAATCAAAATTCAACAAGTCGTGGATGAGGCTTGAATTTGATCGAAATGTCGTGGATAATATATATTAATTATCTACAAGTTTAATATAATACACATATCTACTAGCTGCATAAAAATTATCCACAAGTTGTGGATATAATAAGTTATCCAACAATCTTGGATAACATACTTTTTTTTACATTACATCAAATTTTTAATCTCACAACTCACCCCCAATCGTCCAGCTGCAACACAATCCGTATAACCGTCTCGATTAATATCCATCGTACACAGCAGAGAGAAAACATTTGCCACACTCCATGTCTGCCACAAAAGATCACCATTCATACCGCTCACCGCTATAACACCACCCTCACAAGGCACTTCATCTCCCTGTATGGGACTTTTACATTTGGGCAGAGGATAACCCTCATATTGGATGTTGTCATCAACACCAAATCCAAACACAATATCCATAATACCATCTCTATTAAGATCTGTCTTGCGGACAGGACTTTCACTGTTCATGCGCGGAAATGTACGTGACCACAATTTCTGGACACTTATTTGGGTGCAAGGAACAAATTCACTGCCCATACTATCACCGTATGAACGTTGGCCGTCATCGAGTAGGCCCATGGCGGGGCCCGTACGCTGATTATGGAGCCAACCTTTAAGCTTTTGCATTGATACCGGTACCATGGTGAGGATAAGGGCAATCAAACTGATTAAGGCTATGACAATGGTTAAGGCAGCTAGACCATAACAAAAAGGTTCACAGCAACGCCAACAACAGCGTCGATGCTTTTTCATGATGGGCGATGAGGAGTGTGTTTTACCGTTTTTACGTCGCGGAGCCATCAGCGGGCGTTTCAGGCCCTTTTCTTCACTCATCTGCAGTGGAAGGGGTCAATGGGTAATTTCATTATTTTTTGTATATTTTTTACTGAAGAAAATACCTTGGATGTTTTGGAATCTTTGATGAAAACTTCATCATCGACATCATCGCTAATGTCTTCATCAATGGAATCGCGTATGGCGATACGATTTGAGGGCACATATGGTCTCATATTTATCATTGCCGGAAAATACTGCTTGCAAATCAAAATAACAAATATGGTATTTTTATCTACGCACTTTGGCACTTGTTTTTTGGAAAAATACACCCAAAAGTCTGCTACATTTATGTATTCTATTCGTAAGCCTTTTGCTTATGCTTTAGTTTTCAAATTATTTAACTTTTTTTGTCTATTCTTGTAATTTTTATTATTTTTCCATGAGCAACAAGAATTTCTACGTCTGTTATCACCAAAAAAAAAATCGATACTCTTTTTGCATTTTTATCTAAACTGTCATTTTGACAAATGGTGGTTGCTTCTTGATTCTTTGTGTGTTTTTTCTCCATTTATTTGACGCATGCGCCTAAATGTAGTCAAGTATTGTTTATCTTATCCAAAAGAGGGGGGGGGGGGGGGCTCATTGCATTCTAAACACGTGTTGCATGCTTCACGATTTTGTTTACCAACAAACACTCCACATCCATTCAAAAAAGAACATATGTTTTCATCCGCTGCTTTGCAAGGATGCAAGGGTGGACATGTTTATCAGAGGGAAACGGGATAACTTAGGTTATCTGTTGATATTTATTTACATTATTAGGGGAAGTTTTGTGCCCTTAGTTTTTGTATTGTTTTCCTTTTTTTTCGGGGGAAATTCTTGTGAAGTCCATCGAAGAGATTTATGAATGAATAAAATATGTGACGTAGGGATGTATGAACATTAAAAAAAAAAAACTTTTTTCCTAACTTCATTCATAATTAGATTTGGAGTGTAGACATATATTGGACTATGTATGTATTATAAGACATGTTTAGGGTGACAGGATTTTAGGAAAATATTTAAGGGGAAACATAAAACCCAGCAATGAATAAATTAATGAATTTCAGGGGAAATAATAAATTGTGATTTGTATAAAATATTTTGTAATACCTAAAAATTGTATTAGCTTTTATTTCTGTGGTAATTTAGTGTCTGACTTATAAAAAATTGAAATTTTTTCACATTGAGATAAAAAAAAACTGCCACAAAGTCAAACGTCATCATTTTAATTTTTTTTTTTTTTAATTATATTGAATGAAAGCACAACATGTCGGAAATATCATAAAATTGTAGAATACGTTTAGATTGGTTCGAATTGGTCACCTTTGGCACGAATTATGGCCTTCAAACCCCCCATAAAACCACACGCTGCCCGAATGTTGCTCTGCGGTATTTTGGCCCATTCTCAGCGAGGCGATTGCTTGAGGTGATCGACACCTTGGTATTTTTTATTGCCAAGCTTGCTTTTCAAAATACACCAGACACAATAGACCGGATTGGTATCCGGAGATTTTGGTGGCCATTGCGCTCTGGAAATGAACCGAGGAACCCCATTTTGTAACCATTTTTTGGGTGGCGCGTTCTGAGTGCGATGGTGCTGAGTCCTGTTGGAATGTCCAAGGTCTGCGGCCAAAATGGTTGCGTGCTCAAGGCTTTAATATACCCTCCAGAATATTTTCGAGGTAATATTCGTCTTTTATTCTGATTGATTAATTCGAGCGGAGAGCGACCATCGGCTATTATGGCTGCCCACACCATCACCATGGCCGGCGTTTGGGTTCAGGTGGCTAACCGAAGGTGCACATTTTCAGCTAACCCGTTTGGCAAGTAAACACGATCATTTTGTTTGTTTACAAACTGCTGGAAAACGAATATTTTCTCATCGGAGAAAACCAAATTCGGCAGTTCACCACTTTTGACCAAGCGAAGTAACTCTTTAGCTCTTTTGAGTCTATTTTCTTTCTGTTGCGGTGTAAGTTCTTGCACTTTTTGGAATTTCAATGGCTTTACTCCGAGCTCATTTTTCAATATTTGCCGAATGGAATATGTTCAGCTCACGAGCCATTTCTCGGTCAGTGCGACGCGGGTTTCGATCAAGTCGCTTCTTTACTTTTCGAACTATTTCTGCTGATGTTGCTGTTTTCTTCCGTCCACTTCCTTGACGTCGGGCTATGCTACCAGTATCACGGTAACGAGCGATGGTACGAGACACGAAATATTTATTCACATTTAAATGCTGGAGTGCTCTAAATATAATTGAATTCCATCGCGAATAACTATTTTTCTGGAAAATTCTCACTAAAATGCTTTTCTACGCTTGTAAACAATTTAATGAGCTGTCACTGGAATAATTTTAATAGCTCTCGGACGAGTTGCTTAGAAATGACAGCAGTCTGAAGTTGCTTGCAGTTTTTTTAACTCACCCTGTACATCTCAAATAAAACCTCACAAAGGACAAAGAAGTTCTAATGTAGTATTGCTGACAATATTTGCATTAATAGTGGTGAGAGACCCTCTGGACTTGCCAAATCAATTTGAGAGAGAATCCGGGTGGTTTGTTTATTAATTTCTGTCTGAGACTGCTCATAGCTGATGTAATGTAAACATACTATTAGTCACGGTCTACACCATGGTAGAAGAATATAGGTAGATGCATCAACGCTTGGGAACATTGATATGTCAAAAATTTGTAAGTGCTTTGCGAAAAATTAGTCGTTTTGTATATGTTTTCTTATACGACGCAAATCGAAGGTTGTAATGATATGTATTTTTCGACAATTTTTACAAATTTCAATAATTTTTCATTCATGATTTTTAATATCAAAATCGAACTAAGTCAACCTAAACCTCCTTTGTTCATCTACGAAGAAGCCAGCCGATGACTTAAGCCAGCCAAATATGCTCTTTATGTATTTCCAGCCTTAAGCCGGTCAAATAAGCGCATTATGTATTTCCACCTTAAGGGCACAAGGGAGCCTAGGGCCAAAATAGAACTAAGTTAACCTAAAACTTCTTTGTTCATCTACGAAAAAGCCAGCCAAATATGTGCTTTATGTATTTCCACCCTAAGAAACAAATTAAAAAACATAAATTTTTAAGAGTTTGTAAATTAAATAAATCCAATGGATTAAACAATTAATTTCATTAGATTTATTCTATGTAAACATGCTTTTACCCTGCGTTTACAAAAGAAAGGGCAATTTATATTTTAGTTTAGTCTGCTTGTTCGTATGATAGTAAATACAAATTTGATTCAAGACAATTTGTCCTGTGTAAACGCCTGGTTAGATATGGGTAATGTAAAATTTTCCATATGTAAAAGTTACACATATCGTGTGATACATGTACTGCATTTCAGTTGTAAAATACATGAATAATATAATCTAATAATATCTATTAGGTCATCCGACAAGACCAGCTGATTTCACGCGCATTGTCAAAATCATGTTATTGTGAATTAAACGTATGAAAACGTGAACAAACTTTTAAGGGGTTTTCTATATTAATCACAGTTTTTTATTGTGATTTACAGGATCTGTTTAATGGGACATAGCATGGTAGAAGAATATAGGTAGACGCGTCGACGCAGCTGCTTGGACAATGAACTGTCAAACCAATTTTGGAATTGAAAATGTTGAATGAAAAATTATTTAAATTTGTAAAAATTGTTGAAAAACGCGAATTATAATAGCCTCCGAATGACGTAGTATATGAAAGTATATAAAAATCTACTTATATTTGAAAAAACATTTAAATTTTTTTGACATATCAATGCCCCCAAGCGTTGATGCATCTACCTGTATTCTTCTGCCATGGTACGTATGTACTATTTCGGTCACAGCGTGCCGTTTTTCATCGGATAGAATTAAGTCAAAGTCAAGTTTGCTTGTTGTGTAAAAATACATAAAACCACATTTGCGTTCAAAATACATTAATAAAATTGTAAAATAGAAACCAAAACAAATATCGACAGCTAATTCAACGTATGTGTTGCAGCTGCCGGCAAATAAAAACTTAACCTAAAACGGTGGACGGCAGCTCACATAGAAACTGTAGTGTTGCCACTTAAAGGTATTCACAAAATACTACAGTGCTTGATTATTAGGGCTCTATAGGTAAGAAAAAATGTAAAAAACTACTGAAATCCCAACAAAATAAATTACCTAACAAAAAGGAAACTTAACATCAATGGCGTTCATATATAAAAGCAGTAGCGGGGGAAATTCGCCATTAAAGTATCAACATTTAAGATTTTTTTTACCTATATTGTAGAAACCAAGGCGTGATATTGTATTCATTGTTTTCCTTTGGTTTGATTTCATTCATCCATTCCATAATTACATGACTTATCAGACTAATATTTTAGTTTTTATTTTAGACTATATTCTTACTTGACTTTTATACCATCTAAAATGCGTGAAAATAACGAAATATTTGGTCTGAAAATAATGACAAACTCTTGCCAGCGTACACCCATATTTAAGGAGGAACTACATAAATAAATTTGACAATGAAGTGACAAAAATATTTAATAGTATAATAGCATGAGGTTACCTTGGTAATTGTACCATGTGTTTATTGTGGGAGGCATGGTAGAAGAATATAGGTAGACGCATCGACACAGCTGCTGAGACAATGAACTGTCAAACCAATTTTGGAATTAAAAATGTTAAATGCAAAATTATTTAAATTTTTAAAAATTGTTGAAAAAATTTGATAACCTCCGAATGAATTTCAATAACCTCCGAATGAAGTCGTATAAGAAAACATATAAAAATCTAACTATATTTAAACAACATTTAAATTTTTTTGACATATCAATGCTTCTAAGCGTTGATGCATCTACCTGCATTCTTATGCCATGGTGGGAGATGTTAGGGTGAGGTTAGTGTACGCGGAAATTGGGATCCCTTCAATTCCATTACATATATCTCAAATGTAAACATACTATTAGTCCCTATCTACCCACGAACAATTTCATGAAACCATTCGTTTTTAGACGAAAGAGATGAGGCGTTAAAGGGTGATATAAATTAAGGCTTAAATCGTGACTTCAACGTGGATATACAACACTGTCTCCATTTTTTGGCCATCTTCTTGCGGAATAAATAAATCACTTTTTATTTATTTCATATAATTTATTTAGCATTTATTATTATAATCGTTTACATATTAGTTTAATGCATCATTAGAGACGCAGACATAAGTTTATAGCATTTTTATGTTTAAATAAATTTTTATAGGCTATTACATCGACAAATTATTGCATTATTTTTAAATGTTAAATAATAATCATATTTTTATTATATGGCCAAAATAAAACTATATTTAATTTAATTATAATATTATGGTAGTATAAAAAAGAAGGAGATTTTGTGATAACTTTAAAATTATATAACAATGCGTAATATTTTTATAGATTCTATGAAGTTTTAAGATCATTCTAATAACAAGCTTTCTATTTTTTGTATGTACATGATCTCATAAGTTGGCAATGCCCCTTTGTTTCTCCACGAAGGTGCCAGCCGATGACTTAAGCCAGTAAAAAAGCGTTTTATGTATTCCCATCTTTACTGTTCTTAATTCTTCTGACTTTAGAAAGGATGCTGAAGCAATATGTGTTTGGAAAACAAAGTTGTATTTGTATTCAGTTAATTGTCTTGTGTAAATGCTATAAAGATGTATTGCATAGCTTCGTACTTTAGTATTGAAATCAAAATGATTTTGATGTCATATTAAATAAAAATGTCAGTGTCAGATCTTAATTAACAATGACGACTTTTAATTTGACTTGTAGGCTTTCTAACATGTTTCCAATATGAATTAATAACTCCAAAACCTTTTTTAGTGATATTTCCTTAACAGACATAAACATCTAATTCATTTATATACAATATTTAATTTTCTAGAATTTCGTATCTTTTGTTTTTATCATTTTATAAATAATCTAATTAAAATTACTTAAACATACAATTGTTTTTTTTTTTCTAAAGCTAGATTGCGGCTTGCCACAATGTTTGTGCTATAGGTTCGATAGTGTGGATAAAAAATATATCAAATAAATCGCAATAATACTAAATAAAAATTATACAAAAATTATTTTCAACAGAAGCAAACATTGGGAAAATCACACATACATGGTAGAAAAATATAGGTAGTCGCATCGAAACAGCTGCTGGGACAATGAACTGTCAAACCAATTTTGGAATTGAAAATCTTGAATGAAAAAATATTTCAATTTGTAAAAATTTTTGGAAAATGCGAATTATAATAACCTCTGACTGACGTCGTATAAGAAAACATATTAAATTCGACTTATATTTGAATGAACATTTAAATATTTTTGACATATCAACGTACCTAAGCGTTGATGCATCTACCTGTATTCTTCTACCATGCACACAAACAAATATAAAAGTACGTTTACATCATGGTAGAAGAATATAGGTAGATGCGTCGACACAGCTGCTGGGACAATGAACTGCTCTCAAACCAATTTTGGAATTGAAAATGTTGAATGAAAAATTATTTAAATTTTTAAAAATTGTTGAAAAACGCAAATTATAATAGCCTCCGAATGACATATTATAAGAAAACATATTAAAATCTACTTATATTTGAAAAAACATTTAAATTTTTTTTTTTGACATATCAATGCTCCCACGCGTTTATACATCTACCTGTATTCTTCTGCCATGGTTTTCATACAAAATATCCACCCGAATTAAACCTGATAATTGACCAATCACAATAATTTGTTTTTTATTTTGCCAGATTTATTTTAATTGATCAATAATTGAAAGATCAATAATCTCTGATTTGTCTATACACAATGGATGTTGTCCAATGCATGGTAAAATTAAGAAGGTAAAGTCATTTCAAAAAAGCATACCCATCTCTGCATTTTCTATAATTTACCTTGTCACATTTCACTACATAAAAAGTGGTTCCCATCTCTGATTTGTGTATATATATAATGGATTTATAAATACACATTTTGATAATGAGATGTTGTCAAACGAATAATTTTTGAAAAAATTGTAAACATATGATTGCATGACTTTACCTCCTTGATTCTACCTTCTACCAGCCCGAGTAAACCCTGAAAATTACCAATACTATATCAGATTATATAAATCGATGATTTATAATACCATGTTGTATCGAGGGGATTATCTGAGAGATGGACCAATTAGGTTACCTCATTTCGAATATTAATATTCAACCCTGTATTTTTAACATAGAAAAACGTAAGTTGTGTTCCAGTACTTTTTTAGTAGTAAAATTAGCAGAAATGCGATAAAATGTCAAAATTCAAAATTCCAAAAGTAAACAGCCTAAATTGGACTGGTGAAACCTTACTGAAAAGAGCGCCAACATTTAAAAAATGAGTATTGAAGACGATAAGTTAAAATTAATAATTTATAATAATAATTAATAATCTGATTCCTCATTCAGCCAGTCCTCTTCACTGCTGGAATCATCCAAAAGTGAATACATCAGTTGCTCCATATTTTCTCTTTTTGTTTTTTGCACGACAAATATTAGTTTTTCCTTTAGTTTTCAAGTTGATCATTTTCTTTATTAAAATGTATCAATACATTTTTCAACCTTGTTAGCCCTGCCAATTAAATGTCAAATTTACAATATGCACATTTCTGCTCGGCCAAATTCATGTAGCTAAAACAAGCAGAAATGTGCACCACTCAGCGCCATTTTTTTCTCGAGAGAGCGGCAAGTTTTGCTAGTTTTTGGAGTACGGGAACGCGTTGTAGCAGAATTAGTGCTAATTAGTACTAATTTGCAGGTTCTGGAACACAACTGTAAACGACAACTTTAACAGAATGGGTTTTCAATCACAATGGTCTAGATTACATATACCTCAAATGGAGTACCTATCGCTTGTACCATGGGTTGTCCATTATGAACACCTGATCCGCTTTAAATTGTCATTGCATTGACAAAACATGAAAAAAAATATAACACGGGTAAGAAAAAAATGTTCTGGTTTAAAATTGGAGACTCTCAAATGTAAACAAACCAATCTAATATAAGCTGATCATATTCGAATGAAATTCACTGGATTAAAAGGTGAAAGTACATAAAAATCTTTTCTGGCTGGCTTAAATCATCGGCTGGCTTCTTCGTAGAGGACCAAAGAAGTTTTATGCTGCAAGTACATAAGAAGCTTGAAGTCATGGCTAGGCATATTTTGTGACATTTCACAAAGGGAGTACAGAGTCGCACTAAAATCCTGCCGTCGTTGTCCATTATAACTTGACATTAATATGCCTAGCCTTGACTTTAAGCTTTTTATTTACTTGCACCCTTAGTTTGACTTAGTTCGATTTTGACCGTCAGCCAAAAAAGCTTTTTATATATTCTCACCCTAAGACAAAGGAATTCACAATTGAAATCCATTCGAATTAGTTAATGTAAACGAACTTATAGTTACGATGATGATTTAATTTTTTTTCTTCATTTCTACTAAAACAAACGAACTTTTCAACTTAAAAAAATAAAACAATATCACGTTTTTCAGATGCTTGGAAATAAATCTGTTCGATAACTCAATATGCAACAATAAATTTACAGAGTATTCCAGAACAAAGGTTCAAAATAATTCTGTAAATACGACACTAGTTTTGTAACCAGGAGTGAATATTGAGGCCAAGCTGCGTCATGGCTTAATAATAAGGTGACACCTTATCAGACGAAGTGTCAAAATTTGTTTAGAGTAAGTTTAGATTTATGAAATCCCCTCGATCTCCGAATGTCACTTCCATAGCGTATACGTCAAATAATATTATCCACTCCAAGATTTATGAATACGATTTACGTAACGTATACGCTTGGACATGGTAGAAGAATATAGGAAGACGTGTCGACACAGCTGCTGGGACAATGAACTGTCAAACCAACTTTGGAATTGAAAATGTTGAATAAAAAATTATTTAAATTTGAAAAAATTGTTGAAAAACGCGAATTATAATAGCTTCCGAATGACGTAGTATATGAAAACATATAAAAATCTACTTATAATTGAAAAGACATTTAAAATTTTTTTGACATATCAACGCTTCCAAGCGTTGATGCATCTACCTGTATTCTTCTGCCATGAGTTGACATGTGAAATCGAGTGAATTTATTAGTCTAAGCATACTCTAAGTGTTTTGGCAACTCTCAATTATAAGCTGATAATGATAAGTTGTATAAATTTTAAATTGAAGTAATCGAACAGACCCAATATTTGATAATAATTGGTCTGTTCCAGAATTGCAAGAATGTACAACTTTCTGATAACCGATTTTCCCTTTATGGTGTCGAAAAAATTGCAAAATAGAAAATTCTTGCAAGTTCTGAAAGAGAGCAAATTTGTGCTAATAGCAGTATTGAATACACATTGTTTTTCGTTTGTTTTCTTAGTTTTGGCTTAAAGATATTCATAAAATACTATCCAATATATGATATTAAGACTGGCAAATAACGCTGGAAATAGTACGCGTGATGTTCGATCAATGTATATGGCTCTTTTGAGACGTTCCTGTTGTGGTGTCAGCTTTGGTTTGGGAGGTTCAGGTGATGGAGGTTTTGGTGGCGGTGGTGGAGCAATACCTGGCGTCAGTATTATACGCGACTCCTGTCGAGGAATCCAGGGACCATCGGCGTCGAGGGGTGGTCGCATAACACGTCGTGTATGTGTGTGGGGAATCTAAGGTTAAGGAAAATAATTTAAAAATTTTTATTATTATAAATGCGAGAAATGTTTCAAAAATGTTCTTAAAAATAAAAAAATATAAATAACCATGGTAAATATTGCGATTTAAAGGCAAAAAAACGTTATCTGTTTAAAAGGTGGCTATCTGTGAGAAAACAGATACCTTATTGTAAGAATACATAGAAAAAAGTTAGGGTGACCTAGTTCAAATTGTGGACTACAATGGAACTAAGTAAACCTAAAATCCCTTAGTTCATTTAAGCTGTCATCAGACGATAACAGTTTTACATTTATAGTGTCAAATTTTCCATATGTAAAAGTTGCACACATCGTGTGATACATGGATGATATTTCTGTTGTGAAATCCATGACTAAAGTGCATATGTTCTTTTTCGATCACAGCGAGCCCTATTTTCGTTGGGAAAAATATAAATTAATCAAAAGTGAATTTTTTTGTTGTTGTGTGAAAATATGTATTCTCACCTTCATATTTTTTAGAAAATAAAATATAATCACGATGTAACCAAAGAAAATAAAAAAAGATTGCAAGAATTATGAGTCATATGTAAAATGACAATTTTGACATACACATGGATAATAAAAGTGACAGCACATATGTAAAACCCTAGTCGTCTGATTTAAGCTATACGAAGAAATCAGCCGATGACTTAAGTCAGTGAAGATACACATACTTAGGAGGCTTTTTTACTATTGCAACGACTCATGGTAGAAGAATACAGGTAAATGCATCAACGCTTAAGAACATTGATATGTCAAAAATGTTGAAATGTCTTTTCAAATATAAGTAGATTTTTTATATGTTTTCTAATGCGACGTCATTCGGAGGTTATAATAATACGCATTTTCAACAATTTTTTCAAATTTAAATAATTTTTCATTCAACATTTTCAGTTCCAAAATTGGTTTGACAGTTCATTGTCCCAGCAGCTGTGTCGATGCGTTTACCTATATTCGTCTACCATGGATGAGAGTACATAAAAGTCTTTTTGACTGGCTTAAGTCATCTGTTCGCTTTTTTCGAAGAAGAATAAAGGAGTTGTAGGTTGACTTAGTTCGATTTTAACCCTACGCTCTTGTTTTTTATGAATAAGCCAGCCGATGACAAAAGGCAGTAAAAATAACCTTTTATGTATTCTCACCTTCATATTTTTTTTAGAAAATAAAATATAATCGCAATGTAACCAATGGAAATAAAAAAACATATGCAAGTGGAAAATAGCAAGAATTATGGGTCATATGTAAAATGGCAATTTTGACATACACATGGAAACACACAAGGATGATACAAGTGACAGCACATATGTAAAACTATTATTGTCTGACAGCAGCTATGTATACGAAGAAATCAGCCGATGACTTAAGCCAGTAAAGGTACAGACACAAAGAAAGCTTTTTTTACTGGCTTAAAAATCAACTGGCTTCTTCTTAAAAAAACAAAGGAGGTTTAGGTTGACTTAGTTCAATTTCTGCCCATAATTTTTACTTGTTTACCCTATGCTCCTTTGTTCTTTTACGAAAAAACCAGTCGAAGTCTTCAGCCATTGAAAAATTTGTTCTATATTTCATAAATGGAAGCTAGACCCGTATTCGTCATTTTCCCTTTAATTGGACATTATGCCATGCCGTGATGACAAGTTGCATATGTATCATCGCCTTTATATTCTAAAACTCTGAAGACATATTTTCTAAAACCCTGACTACTCACCCTCTTATTTTTGGTCATTTCATCAAATATTTTCTCAATCTTTTCGTCTGTGAGTGGTGGCTTGGGCGCCGGTTCTGGCGCTGGCTTCTTTTCTGGCTCCTTTTTCTCCTCCTCTGGCTTCGGTTTAGGAGGATATGCTATAGGTTTGGGTATGGGTGTATCACTTAGCACGATATTGATGAGGCAATATTCCATCAGAGCCATAAACACGAACACCGTACAGACAGACATAAACGCATCGACTGCTTTCAGATAGGAAACCGGCGGTAGCGATGATTGTGATTTTGCATGTTGCGTAGATAGAGTAAGCAACGAAGTGACGCCCAATGTAACACGGGCTGGAGCTGCTTCGGGTTTAATCCAAAATGAGACCCATGACATGATGACAATCATACAAGTCGGAATATATGTATTGAATACATAGTAGACAAGACGTCTTTTCAGCGTGAAAACCACTTCGAGACACGTGAAATTACCCGTCGAATAGACTTGGGTACAATCAGCTGTTTCGTTGCGTATCAATGCCACCTGGGGCAATTCAATGTTTTCATCCACCACCAGGGGTGTTGTGGGATCCCATTGGAAAATCATATCATCTGTTGTGTGGGATACTGGAAAATATAAAGAAATTATAACATATTTTTAATGTATACTACTTTTAATTCGACTACTTACAACTTTCCATTTGTAGTTTACACTCTTGCGTGTCATGCGGATAGATGGCAAAATTCATAATACACGACAGCTTCAGTGTCAATTTCACCATATACAATATCGTCTTATCCTTATACAGCCACATATAATGATTGGGTATCGTCATTGTCTGAAATGTCACCGATTTAGCATTTTTAAAGAACGAATCTGGCCGCCAGACATTTTTCAACCAATCCACTTCGAGTAGACGATATTCTGTTGTCATATTTTCTGGCAATCGTAAACGATGATCTTTCCATGTTTGTGCGAAAAAGATATCCGCCACATAGGTCATGGAATTCTCATCGATAGAATCTAAGCCCATAACGGTAACGTGAAAATAAACTATACACGGTTGTCCCTCTTTTTTCGGCGGACGCATTTTATCATAACGTTTTATGTCCTCGGGTAAAATATCTGTGATAGCTAAACTATGTCTGAAATTGGAAATTTTTAGTTATGTATCAAATTCCACTAACATATTTTTGTAAAACTTACTGAAATTCTCCTCTAACGAAATGTTCCAGACTTATTGAAAGTAATACAAAAAGAACCGATTGGGCACCCATTGCTGTAAAATAAGAAAATCGCATTTAATTAGCGGATATTGGTAGGAACCGTAGTTGAATTAAGAAGATAATCTTGTGCAATCATATATTCAAAATTTTTTACACATTTGACAATTCTTAGTGTTAAAATTTGTGTTTATATCCACTGTATTTGCACAAATCAGGGATGAGAACCTACATCCAATGCAGTTAAATTTGACCAGATATACCACAAACAAGTAAAAAAGCAGTAAGTTCGCCGGGCCGAACTTTTAATACCCTCCACCATTTGGAACGAATTAGAAAATTTAAAAAAAAAAAATGAAATCCATTAAAAATTCTCTCAAAATCTTTGAAATACCTAATATCGGAAGATACCGATATATAGGGGGGTATGCGATATTGTGGACCTATATAGACAAATCTATGTCTGGGGGTAAAGTACTCACAAATAACTCCATGAGCAGAATTTCAGACAATTCCGTTGAAAAATTTGGCTAAAATCGTCAAAATACCAAATATAGGGGGGGGGGGGTACTGTTATATGGGGGCTATACGATATCGTGGGCCTATATAGACAAATCTCTTTCAGGGGTAAAGTGCTCACAAAGAACTCCATGTGTATAATTTCAGACAATTCCATTGAAAATTGTGGCTAAAATCATCAAAATACCGAATATCGGGGGTACCGTTATATGGGAGCTATACGATATCGTGGACCTATATAGGCATTTCTCTTTCAGGGGGTAAAATACCTACAAGGAACTTCTTGTGTGGAATTTCAGACAATTCCGTTGAAAAAATATGGCTAAAATCGTCAAAATATCGAATATCGGGGGGTACTGTTATATGGGGGCTATACGATATCGTGGACCTATATAGACAAATCTCTTTCAGGGGTAAAGTGCTCACAAAGAACTCCATGTGTAGAATTTCAGACAATTCCATTGAAAATTGTGGCTAAAATCATAAAAATACTGAATATCGGGGGTTACCGTTATATGGTGGCTATACGATATCGTGAACCGATATAGACCATCTTCGAACTTGACCTGCCTGCAGACAAAAGGCAGATCTGTGCAAAATTTTAGCTTCCTTTCTTAATTCGTTTTGATTGTATCGTGATCACAACGAACAGACAGGCCTAAATCGTCTTAAAATTTTACGCTGATCAAGAATATATATACTTTGTTGGGTCTAAAATTATTATTTCGATGAGTTACAAACGGAATGACGAACTTAATATACCCTCCATACTATATATGGTGGAGGGTATACAAATTCAGTTTACCTTGAATTAATTGTACCCCGGTAGAACAAAGATTAACCAGCTTTAGTTTAGAACACACCAATTCAGTTTTAAGGGTTAAAAATCGCCACAAGGGTTAAAAATCTCATGTCAAACTGACAATGTCAGTTGTCGATCACAGCGAGCCCTATTTTAATCGGAAAAATATCATTTAATCAAATGTGGTGTTTGTTTGTTTTGCGAAAATATGTAAGTTGATATTTACGATAAAAATCCATAAAATATTATATTTTTTTTATAAAATACAATGTAATCAAAGGAAATAAAAACATTTGCAAATTTATAATAGCAAAAATTATAAGTCATATGTAAAATGGTAATTTTGAAATACACATGGATGATAAAACTGACAGCACATATGTGAATCGCATTCCATCTGATAATGCCTTTAATAACACGTTTAAATGCAGATCAGATTCACCATACCTCATATTTATTTTTCTATATTTCTAACGGTGTATCTAAACACACATAGTTAACGCACCAGTGGGTAAACCTTCAATACTGTGAACGTACTTTTAACTTATACCATGTTGTCATTCCCATTTGAATTACATTATCTGCCGGCAAAACTACGTAACGAGTTCATACGACACGATTCATAGTTCAAAGTAACATAACTCCTTTTTTCTTACATAATGTTTCTGTATTTTTTAATTTGAACAAAATGCATGAAAAGAAGAAGCAAACCTTCAATACGAAAACATATACAAATCTACTTATTTTAAAAAGGAACATTTAAAAATTTCTGACATATCAATGTTCAATGGTAAAAGAATGCATGTAGATGTATTTTTTTACCATGGAATATACCCAAAAATATGTTTCGTATTCTTTTCGAATAGTCAAATTTTGAAATTTGAACAGTTGTTCTTTTATATAAAAGAGCTAAATTTTCATAGTTTAAGATTTTAAAACCTTTAAAATTCTGCCAAATTCGCTTGTAAAAAGTAGAAAAGCTACTGATTGACACTTATACCTTATTAAACATAAATAGATTTTAACATAGTGCAATAACAGCTTCATGGTACAAAATCAGTAATCAGCTTGCTTCTTCGGAAAATAACAAAGGAGCCTAGAGCCAGTCAAAAAACAAAACATTTTATGTACTTTCACCTTTACTGAAATGCAGCTCTGAGGCTATGCCGGTTCCTCTCAGAATTATTAGAAATGACATTTTTCCTCTGTTTTAAAATGGTTTAAAAATTTTGAAAGACGAATGAATAGTCTGGAATTTCTTGAAAAATATGATCAACAATGGCACAATTACAGAATGTAGAACAAAGCTACCTCTTAAAAACATTTTTTTTGTTTTGGTGCCTTAAGGTGAGAATACATAAAAGGCTGGCTTAAATCATCGGCTGGATTCTTTGGAAAAGAATTCGCTAGCCGCTGACTTAGTTTCTTGAAGTCGAGCAACCTTTCTGATTGAGTCATGACTCAAACCAACTTCATACTAAGCTGCAATGAGTACCAGGGTACGTACACGTATGCACTAACCATCGCACATTTAACTAAACAGTGATTCCACTTTATAAAGGCATTATCAGACGGAATGATTTTTTTCTTTTATTATCCATGTTTATTTCCGTTAGTATATCAAGTTGTTCTTTGAAATAGGACTCAAAATATTTGCTATCACACACTTGCATATGTTTTGTATTTATTTGCTTTTGTTACAATGTGTTTTGTAAAGGTGAGAGCTCAAATAACAAGTTTTTTACTGACTTAAGCTGGGAATACATAAAGCGATTATTTGGCCTGCTTATGTCATCGGCTGGCTTCTTCGGAAATGAACAAAGGAGCCTAGGGCCAAAATCGAACTAGGTCAACCTAAAACTCCTTTGTTCATCTACGAAGAAGCCAGCCGATGACTTAAGCCAGCCAAATATGCGCTTTATGTATTTCCAGCCTTAAGGCATTTGTATAAATGATGGCAAGAAATTGAATTGAGACAACTTCTTTGCCCTTTAACGAAGAAGCCAGCAGATGACTTAAGCCATTAAAAAAGCTCTTTATGCACTTACACCTTTTTCCGATGAAAATAGTATGTATGAACCATGGTAGAAGAATACAGGTAGTCATATCGACACAGCTGCTGGGACAATGAACTGTCAAACCAATTTTGGAATTGATATTTTTGAATGAAAAATTCTTCAAATTTGTAAAAACTGTTAACAAATGTATAACATAACAACATCGAAAAATCGACTTGTATTCGAAAAAAAAGAAACATTTAAAAATTTCTGGCATATCAATGTTCTCTTCTGCCATGGTATGTAATTTACTCATTTATTTCAAAACTGAAATGCCGTCCATTTATTTCACCATATGTGCAACTTCTACATATGGAAAATTTAACATTGCGTATGTGAAAAATATTTCGTCTGATAGAGCCTGGTTCTGCAGCAGAGCATGGTACAATTAAATAAAGGCAACCTTATTTTAAATTATAATATCCAGTTCTGCATGTTTCTGTAATTGACCTAGTCAAATTTTACTTAATTGAAAACAGATTCTTATCTCTGATGCGTGTATAGGCAAGGGGTTTTTAAATAAATAAAAATAAATATTTTGACAATTTTAAAAGATTGGAACAGAGCAATTTTTTTAATATTATAAGATTGATATCATCTCAAATGCATATTCACAAATCTATTACATAAAAATTAAGCAGAAATCAAAAATATCAGTCGCATGGCGTATCTCTTGCCGAAAGGGACGGCAAGTTCCAAAAAAAAGAAAATAACAAGTTAAAAAGCAGTAAGTTCGGCCGGGCAGAACTTTGAATTCCCTCCACCATTTGGAACGAATTTAAAAATTTTCAAAAAATAAAATCCGCTGAAAATTCTGTTAAAATCTTAAAAAATACCGAATATAGCCGTTATAATAGTGTCTATACGACGTGGACCTACATAGGCGCTATTTGTTATAAGCCATTACCATATTTAAATTCAAACCCTGAAATAAACGGTGATTAATGAGCTAAAAGCATCAGGTTATTTCGGAGCTATACGAAGACCTGGACCTGCATGGACAATTTTCTGTCACAGTCTGTAGCATCCATTACGAACTTTAAATACGACATCTCAAACAATTTCGGTGATTATTGTACCTAAAATCGTCAAAATACGAATTTAGCGAGGTACTGATATATGGGGCCTATACGAAGACCTAAACCTGCATAAACAATTTTGTGCCACAGTATCCATTACGAACTTCAAATGCCAAATTTGAAACAATTCCGGTGGATAATGTCGCTAAAATTATCAAAATACCGAATATAGGGAGGTACCGTTATGTGGAGGCTATACGAAAACGTGGATCTGCACAGACCATTTTCTGTCTTAGGCTGTAGTATCCATTACGAACTTCAAATGCCAAATTTGAAACTATTCTGATGAATAATGTCGCTAAAATCATCTCCTTAGTATGGTGGAGGGTATAAAAAGGATCAGAAAAAACTCTCCTAAGGTGAGAATACATTAAACGCTTTTTTGACTGGCTTAAGTCATCGGCTGTCTTCTTCGGAAAGAAGACAGCCGAAATTGAACTAAAATTGAACTAAAACCGCTTTTATGGCTGGCTTAAGTCATCGGCTGGCTTCTTCGAAAATGAACAAAGGATCCTAGGGCCAAAATCGAACTAAATCAACCTAAAATTCCTTTGTTCATCTACGAAGAAGCCAGCCGATGACTTAAGCCTGCCAAATAT